ATAAATAAATTTAGATTAATCTTTAGGGCTACTAAAGTTTTTCAGTCAAGAGCAGTGAGTGATTTTCTGTCTTTCTGTTGTTGCTTGATTAACATCAATGACTCGGACAATAGCAACTAAATTAGGCTGCTGTCCCTTTAAAACCGCTGCTGCAATGGTTGCAATGTACTGATATACACGTTCTCCCTACTGTTTATGTTCACTTAAGATGTAATCAACTGTGTTTACGTGAATACTCATCAAAACGGACAATTCAACATCATTGTGTGTGCAATTCTTCGTTCATGCGACGCTTAAGAGTACTCGCGCGCTGTGAGAGGCACTTTCTGTGTGTGTGTATGCTTCAGTGTCTGCGCTCAGAAAACCGGACCGAATTGAGTTCTCTCTTGCATCGTCAGATTTATCTATATGTCTGCTCTTCTCTTACTCCCACATATTGACATTTTTGAACGTTTTATGAGACGTAAGTGTATTTTAGCTTATGTCCCGCCAGTTCATATGTACGCATCTAACCTCTGAACCATGCAGCAGATTTGTTCTGAATGAATCTCTTCCCAAATCGTCCCTCCCTAACATTTTCGTCTCGTATTTATTAGTTGACGAAAATATCAATACATTTTCGTCATAGTTTTTGTCATTCAAAAATAGTTTTAGTTCGTTATCGTCTCGTTGTCGTCGGTGGAAAAAATTTCGTTGATGAAAATTATGACGAAAATTATTCGTCAACGAAATTAACACTGCATAGCACTGTCAATAGCTAATATTTTTTAAAACATAGTGTTGACTATGATGACCCTTTAGGATCGCCAATGCCTGTTTGCTCTTGCGTCCGTTCCCCGTGATGGAGCAGAGTTCTCTGGGTTCCACAGCTGAGCACCGGCCCTCTGCCATTGTTCCCTAATGGCGCTATGCTGATTTTTTCTGTCAGCGCTTTACTTTAGTAATCCAATCCCGCCTCTCCCTTGTCTTCTCTTTGTTCTGCTCATTTTTCCTCCATCTCTTAGGGGTGGAGATTGAACGCAGTAGGATGTTAATGAATATTAATGTAGCAGCCCTTTTGTCCCCGGGGAGAGTCTCTCCCTCGCTCTCTGCCTGTTTCGCTTTCCGTTTCTGCTGATGGAAGGGAAACTACGGCAGGAAATCAGTCGAGGTCTCTCCGCTTGGATTGGGGGTGACCGAGAGCCGCATGCAAATGAGCTGCTCATCAATATTAATGCTCACCCTTTATTAGCTGGAGAGTCCGGAGAGGGAGACATGTTTTCACTTTAACCTCTTTTATGAATTTAATTCACCTGTACCATGTATTTAGATATGGTCTTCATTCAAAGTTCTACTATAACCTGGTGAGCTGCCTACCTAGACAGCATTTTAACACATTGACACAAAGCCTGTTTCAAAAGGTAGGCATCATTGCAGCTATCCCATAATGCATTAGACAAACCTAGTGAAAAAGTTTCCCAAAGATAAAATATTGTAATTATATAATATTTTTAATTATACATACATATACAATACAGTGTGTGTGTGTATATCTATATAGATTATATACACACACATAAATATTTAGTTTTGTATTTTGCAGATATTAATAATGTGTAATTTTTTATATATATTTTTTGTAATATAGATATATATAAAATTGCATATTATTCTAATGTTCTATTTTTCTCAGTGTGTGTGTGTGTGTGTGTGTGTGTGTGGGGCGGCTGACACATGCCTCAGAAAACCGGACCGAATTGAGTTCTCTCTTGCATCGTCAGATTTATCTATATGTCTGCTCTTCTCTTACTCCCACATATTGACATTTTTGAACGTTTTATGAGACGTAAGTGTATTTTAGCTTATGTCCCGCCAGTTCATATGTACGCATCTAACCTCTGAACCATGCAGCAGATTTGTTCTGAATGAATCTCTTCCCAAATCGTCCCTCCCTAACATTTTCGTCTCGTATTTATTAGTTGACGAAAATATCAATACATTTTCGTCATAGTTTTTGTCATTCAAAAATAGTTTTAGTTCGTTATCGTCTCGTTGTCGTCGGTGGAAAAAATTTCGTTGATGAAAATTATGACGAAAATTATTCGTCAACGAAATTAACACTGCATAGCACTGTCAATAGCTAATATTTTTTAAAACATAGTGTTGACTATGATGACCCTTTAGGATCGCCAATGCCTGTTTGCTCTTGCGTCCGTTCCCCGTGATGGAGCAGAGTTCTCTGGGTTCCACAGCTGAGCACCGGCCCTCTGCCATTGTTCCCTAATGGCGCTATGCTGATTTTTTCTGTCAGCGCTTTACTTTAGTAATCCAATCCCGCCTCTCCCTTGTCTTCTCTTTGTTCTGCTCATTTTTCCTCCATCTCTTAGGGGTGGAGATTGAACGCAGTAGGATGTTAATGAATATTAATGTAGCAGCCCTTTTGTCCCCGGGGAGAGTCTCTCCCTCGCTCTCTGCCTGTTTCGCTTTCCGTTTCTGCTGATGGAAGGGAAACTACGGCAGGAAATCAGTCGAGGTCTCTCCGCTTGGATTGGGGGTGACCGAGAGCCGCATGCAAATGAGCTGCTCATCAATATTAATGCTCACCCTTTATTAGCTGGAGAGTCCGGAGAGGGAGACATGTTTTCACTTTAACCTCTTTTATGAATTTAATTCACCTGTACCATGTATTTAGATATGGTCTTCATTCAAAGTTCTACTATAACCTGGTGAGCTGCCTACCTAGACAGCATTTTAACACATTGACACAAAGCCTGTTTCAAAAGGTAGGCATCATTGCAGCTATCCCATAATGCATTAGACAAACCTAGTGAAAAAGTTTCCCAAAGATAAAATATTGTAATTATATAATATTTTTAATTATACATACATATACAATACAGTGTGTGTGTGTATATCTATATATGTATATAGATTATATACACACACACACACATAAATATTTAGTTTTGTATTTTGCAGATATTAATAATGTGTAATTTTGTATATATATTTTTTGTAATATAGATATATATAAAATTGCATTTTATTCTAATGTTCTATTTTACTCAGTGTGTGTGTGTGTGTGTGTATATATATATATATATATATATATATATATATACAGTATATATACATACACACACACATAAATTTAGTTCTGTATTTTGCAGATGTTAAGCCTAATAATTTGTAATATTTTTTTATGATATATATTTTATGTTAGACTATTATATATTAAATATATATATATATGCTCAATGAAAAAGATTCTCCAAGATATGAAGCATATACATATATACATATATGGATTAAAATGTAGTTCAGTCTAATTAAAAAATGCCTAAATTGTCTAAAATGCCTATTCTACTCTATTATAAATTATTAGGACAGGGAATTTTTTGGCTGCTTGGATTCTATTTGTCCTATGTTACACTGGGTAGCTCCGCCCACAGTCAAATCCAATTGGTCCAAAATCTAGTTCCGCAAAACTGAATTTTAAACATCAAATTCTGATTGGTCGTGATTATATTATGTATTTAGCAGACAGACTGCTTGTCTCTTCGAGTTTGTTGGGACATGTAAGAAGGCATTCATGCATGCAGCACACTAGGTTTTGAAACCGGCTGATTATTGACTGGCAGATGTGGATGGCCAGTGATTTCTGTTGTCAGATCTCCAGGTGTTCTTCCGTTAACTGATAAAGTGTGTATAAACTGTGACGGAGCTCCGGCAGTGTGTGAATGAACTGAACGATAAGATCTGAGGTGTTTTTACAGGTGTGTGTAATCTACTTATGCTAAAAATAACAGTAATTATTCTTCTTTACACAAATGTTCCAGGTTCAAAATGAGTTTAGCTCATTTTGGTTCTATTAATCAGCGACTTTTTCATCAGGAAACCAAATAAAATGGTAAAAGTTTCACCATTTTTGTTTCTTTTTCTCTCCCGACAGCAACAAGAGCAGGACCCCACTAACCTGTACATATCTAACCTGCCGCTGACCATGGATGAACAGGAGTTAGAGGCCATGCTGAAGCCCTTCGGACAGGTCGTCTCCACACGCGTCCTGCGGGACACCAACGGCGGCAGCCGAGGGGTCGGATTTGCAAGGTGAGGGTCTTGTATCTGACCCCAAATCACCAGGTCAACTCCTGTTGTCATGCTATCGTTCTTTGTGAAATCCCCTTCAATGTACCAACCATGGTTCAAGTCTGCAGCGTCGGTCAGGGAATCATGCGTCCTGGAAAGCCCCTGGCGTTGTGCCCGCCACAACACAAACACTTCAGACCCTCCCATGATCCTTAGTGCCAGTCAGTTCCTTGAAAACATAGCTGTGCATCTGACATATCAGCACGGCAAAGCCAGAACTCCCTGAACCTCTCTTTGTAAATTTATGACAAGTAAAAACTTGATTGTACTAAGTGTTATTCTCACGCACTTGAGTGAAAAACCCTTGACCTGGTTTATCTAATCAGATAAATAAGTTTCGAGTATGCTTTCAGATATCAATGATGTAAGTATAAATTATGAAATGAGTTTTACTGATAAACAGAATGCATTGGCAAAACATGTCTTTATGATTTTCATAGCTCTGCATATCTAAACATTCACAAAAATGTCAATTTCTACCCTCTTTTGATGACTTGATTGTACTAACCTAAGGGTTATTCCTGCTCATTTGAGGGAAAACCCCCTTAAAGAAAACTGAACTGGTTTATTTAATCAGAATTAGGTTTTCAAATAATAATGATATAAATATAAATGACATATTTTAAATGATAAACAAAATATATTAGCAAAACTTTTGTTGATATGGGTTTCATAGCTCGGCATACCTAAACATTTATGAAAATCTCAGTTTGTACAAATTTCTGTATTTATTTTAAAACTGATTACAATGTATTTGTTTGCAGTTAAAATAATCCGAGCATGCTTTCCACTCTAAATGAACTGAAGCAAGATTTATATGCACGGATATAACAAAATATAGAAATGAACAGCAATATTTAGCTACATACTTTTTAATTCGTAAAAATGCCTTGCAGAGACATTTTTGAGTGACATTAATCATTAAATCTGAGTTTTGAACTGATTCACTAAAATGAACCGTTTGAAATGATTCACTGAAATAAATCAAACTTGCCAACTCAATTTTAAATGTCAGGAAAAGAGCAAAAAGGATCATGAAACTATAAGGTAATGCATTAAGATGAGTGCATTATGCTTTAGTTTAGTAATGCAAAATCCCCTAGCTATTCTTCATATGACTTTAACATGTTTCTCAACATTTACAGGAACTTAACAGGTAGCCAGTGCAGAGACTGTAAAATTGGGGTAATATGATCATATTTTCTTGACCTGGTAAGGACTCTAGAGAGTGAAATGTGTAAACCTTTAAACCGGTAATGTGTTTCTCTAGGATGGAGTCGACGGAGAAATGTGAAGCTGTCATCTCTCACTTCAACGGGAAATTTCTCAAAACACCAGCTGGAGTTATGGGTAAGTGTGCATCTGCATGCTTCGCATTTACTTTAATGCAGTTGATCATGAAACTTTTTTTTTTAAATATGTCAGATTAAGATGAGTGCATTATGCTTTAGTTTAGTAATGCAAAATCCCCTAGCTATTCTTCATATGACTTTAACATGTTTCTCAACATTTACAGCTGGTGCAGTTGATGGGAATGATGTTTTATATTCAAACCGAGAGTGAAATGTGTAAACCTTTAAACCGGTAATGTGTTTCTCTAGGATGGAGTCGACGGAGAAATGTGAAGCTGTCATCTCTCACTTCAACGGGAAATTTCTCAAAACACCAGCTGGAGTTATGGGTAAGTGTGCATCTGCATGCTTCGCATTTACTTTAATGCAGTTGATCATGGAACTTTTTTTTTTAAATATGTCAGCGTTCACTCGCCCTCATGTTGTTTCTAAACATGCATGACTTTTCTTTCCTCCACAAAAGGAGAGGGTACATTTCTGAAGGATATCCTTGCCACTTTTCTGCATGTAATAGGAGTAAATGATTGAATTGTCATGTTTGGGTTAACCACTACTATAATGTGTGTTTTGTTTGTGCATAAAGACACAATGCTGGTGTGTTCGAGCACATTCATTCATTCTCTGGTAATGATTCTCCTCGGATGGGGTCTAAATGGAAACAGGCTTTCGGGCATGTGGCGCAACCGTTCAGCCATACCAAACGGCTTTCGCACGAATGTAGATTTAGACTCGCTGCACGAAATGCTGAAATTACAGAGCTGGGAGGAGCTACATGGGCATGATGCAGCTTATTGATTAGTGGAGGCTCGTTTGGGACTCAAGTGAAAGCAATGTGTGCTAATTTTCTCTTACTGGCCTGGCGTAGCCTCTCTAAGCATTTTAATTGGATTATTAGACTGAAATAGTCTCCACTGACCGTGTCAGAAAAGAAGGAAGGGGGTTATATGAAGACAGCTTCCAAATTAGATGCCTGCTGTCTAAGCATTGTGGGAAAGCCATTGCGGATGGAGCCAGGAAGCCTCAGAGGGCCTTGAGATGACGGCATATAACTGGTGGAGATTTTGCTGTACCGTTTATACTGCTGTACGGTTAACAAATAACACGACAGTTATTTGCATGTGCAACAAAAAAACAGAGATAAAAGTTATCTATCTTGAAAAAGAAACATAAAATGAAACTTAATAAAACAGAATAAAAAGTTATGAAAACCCATTTCTGCCACATAAGAAAAAAATACTTTAATAAGTCATAATTATGAAATAAAGTCTCATAATTATAACATAAAAAGTCATAATTATGAGATAAAATGTAAAAAAAATATGACAGTCATAATGTTATGGCTGATAACCAATATCTTGACTTGTTAAAAAAAAAAAAGACACATAACTTATTAAAACATAAAAATAATTTTGAAGTTTCCAACACGTATGAAAAAACCCACTTTGATCAATAAAAAGTTGAATTATGACATACTTTGGACATAAAGTTGAAATTATGAGATAAAAAGTCCAAATTATGACAATAAATGTTATGGCTGAAAAGCAATAAATGGCAGATATTTTTAAGTCTAATTTAAAATTAAAGCCAAATAAAACCAACTTAAAATTAATTTGAAGTTTCCACCACACAAGAAAAAAAATCTTATTTTTTGTAATTCATAAAAAGTTGAAATTATGAGATAAAATGTCATAATTATGAGATAAAAGGTCAACAATATGACATTCTCAGTCATAGTTATGAGATAAAACAAGTCATAATTGTCAAAATTATGACAGTCGTAATTATGAGAATTATGACATTCTTAGTCATAGTTCTGAGATAAAATAGTCAAAAAAAATCATAATTATAACAAAACAATTTGACATTTTGTCATAATTACAATTTATCTCATAATTGCGGCTTTTTAATCTCATGATTATGATTTACCAAAGCATGACACTTTTTCTAATGTGGCGTAATAACTAAGTAAAGTGCTTTCCTTTTAGGAGCAGAGTAATGTTACACTCAAATCTTCAAAAGATTTAACTCCTAAAGGGTTCAATCTTTTTCTAGCGTTATCATTTTAAGTTATTTCTAGATAATGAATCTTAAATCTTGAAATAGGCAGAAACAAATGAAATCAAACAATGGCCATCTTCACCTGATATGGTGCTGATATATTTGTGCCTGCCTCTCTATCAGGAATTGATCGGATTGTGAAAAGTGGGTTTTATATACAATACCAGAACGGAATCAGAGGGGGAGGGGCTAAAAATAAGAGGCATTTGTGATGTCATCCAAAAGGAAAGTCGTTTCAGAGGTTGCTAAAATGTCACTCCATGTTTAATGCACTGAGTAGCGTAAAGCAGTTGTACTGGAGTTTAACAAAATCTCAAGCCTTTTCTACTGTCACACTATGATGGTTTTGATTAAAGCATTGAGCGAGCAGTCAACATCACGCTGAGAGTTCATGTGTGTGTCTGCAGCGCCGTCAGAACCCTTGCTGTGCAAGTTTGCAGACGGAGGCCAGAAGAAGCGTCAGAGTCAAAATAAATATGCGCAGAACGGACGAGCCTGGGCCAGAGATGGGGAGACCAGACTTGTGAGTACTGCTCTTTTGCTCTCACCACCATGTTGTGTGTCCGGATCGCTTATTGCGGACATATATCACCTGCAGCAGCTTGTTAGTGAACACATGGACAGCAGGGATGTGTGGGTGTGTGTGTGTGTTTATACTAGCTACACCAATACAGTCATATATTACATGAACCACATAAGTGATACTGAGAAGTGTGTGTGTGTGTGTGTGTGTGTGTGTGTGTGTAAACTGCTTAGTCACCTGTCATTTCCCATCATGACACTCGCGCTGTTCCAAAACCTAGTGAACTGAAATGTACCCTCATAAGTGACTGATTTGTGACGGGAGACTCTAACTGGTATTAAAAACCATAGCACGCCGATATTTTGTAAATCAGTTTTTTGATCACTACTCTTTGGGATTGAATGAATTGTATTTCTAATCAACATTTCTTTTACTTGTCTGACGTCTTGATTTGAGTGATTTGACCAGTATTAATATAATAACCTATTTCTTATTTTATTTTATTTTTTTTATTATTTTGATCAGTACTTCAGGATTTAATCATATTTATAATAAACATTTATTTCACTTTGTCTGATATCTTGAAGTGATTTGACCAGTATTAATAACCAATTTTTTTATTTTATTTTATTATTGTTTTTCATTATTTTATTCTTATTTTCTATATATTTTTCATTTTATTTTATTTTATTGTATTTTGATCAGTACTCTTCAGGATTTAATTCATCATATTTATAATCTAATTTATAATTGTTTATAAAGAAATGTTTCTTTCTTTCATTTCTGCACGCCAGTTTTAATTATTTTTATTATTTTATTGTTTTATTTTATTTATTTTTTTATTCTGATCAGTACTATTCAGAATTTATTGTATTTATAATCAACATGTCTTTTTCTTTGTCTGCCATCTTTAAGTGATTTTGTTGCAATGCATTCTTTGTCTGAAATGTGTCTTTCATTTCTGCACACCAGCATTACTATAATAATATATTATATATATAATAATATTATATATCCTATTTAATTTTTAATTTAATTTTATTTTATTTTATTCACTTCAGGATGTAATTATTCATATTTATAATCAACATTTCTTTTGCTTTGTCCGATATCTTGAAGTGATTTTGTCATTAACTAGTCCCAAAGATCAGTGATCAAAATTAAATTAAATTAAAAAAAAAAAAAAAACTTTTTTTTTTTTTTTTTTTAAATGGGTGTATGTATGTATATTGATCACTACTCTTTGGGATTAATTATTCATATTTATAATCGACCTCCATGTGATTTCACACAAATCTCCCCTTAAAATACTGCCTGTATAGTCAGCTCACTAGGTTTTGGAGCAGAGCGAGTCACGAATCACTGTGTTCAGTGTTCACAGTGTCACATGACCATTCATAAAAAGAAAATCAGTAGGAAAATGTATCACATCACATCACTTAATTGAGTCGATATTGTGGTTTTTCTAATGAAAATTACTTTAAACGTTTTCATTTTTTCTTCTTTTCATGTGCAAGCCATGTACGGAGAAGGTCGTGGATGGCATGTAATTACAGCACGCTGGGTTGTCTGTCACGCCAGATCATTTCATTAAACCTTATGCAGTTTCACAGGTTTTATCCACGCATGCCGCAGCACTCGACTGGACAGTGTCAGATTCTGTCCACAGCGAGAAGAAACATCTTAAAAGCTTTTCCACATGTTGATATGGCTGTGACAACATGAACTATTTGGCCACAAACTCGAGGGGAAGGCAGTAGGGTCATTTGTTTTCAGTTTTATGTTATTTGACATAGGCTGGGCGATATAGCTAAAAAATAGTATCAACGATATAATGTTTCATATCGTTCGGTATCGATAATTATTGACAATTTTTATAACCTTTTTTAAAACAAAGAGCAATAGAAAAAATGTTTAAATTTAACCACTGTATTTTTAAATTAACCCAATTTAGTGAGACAACAATTTTTTTGTTTTAACAATCAAACACAAAATAAAAATTAAACAAATATCTAATTTCTAATGTTTTATATGCAGATTAAATAGGTCTTAAGGAAACTTTTGGCTTGTCTCCCAAGGCCACAGGAGGGCGCAGTGAGCAAAATAATGCAACGCATTAAAAATGATCAACGCAAGGAAGTAACTCTATTAAAAAAACATGCATTACGTCTAAATTAACTCATAAAAATCAAATATAATTTCATAAATTGCATAAACAATTATGAACAAAACAGCATCATGCATTTATGCATTGCTTAATACAAAGAGCCGAAGCACCATTCACACAGACTGCATTTAAAAACATTTGAGACGCAGTGAAAAGGAATAAACCTTCACAAATTCGTGACGTGTTTTCTAAAAGTTTAAACGGTTTTAACTTTGCATGTCTTTCTATACATCTCTTGTGTGCAGCAGTCATTTTTTCCGTCTAAAAATGTGCTGATTATGCGTTGAATGGCTTGGTTTTAACCTAATCAAGATCTTCTCCGCATTGAGCTTGTATATTTCTCTAATATTTTGAATGAATAACGCAGCAGCGGCGCATCTCGTGGGCTAGACTAACAAAACATTAAAATGCAACAACGTCACTTACATCATCATCCACGCAACTCTCGCGCCACTGATGACGCTTCCTGATGCACACCTAACATTCAAATGCAAATGTTTATGAACTAATATTCATTTTTTATTCACAATCTCCTCATCACAGGCAGGCACAGCAACTCATTTCAGCATGTGTTCGTGTTTGTGTGTGCTGTCTGCGTCACTAATAGCACGTGCCTATATCGTGCGCTATATCGAACATTTTTCCTATCGTTATCGAAGAAGGTGTACCGTCGATAAATATCGATACCGTTTTATCACTCAGGCCTAATTTGACAAGTACGGTAGCCCCAAAAAGACACTTGCGCCACACTTAATGATATAGCTTCATTGCATTCACTAACAAAATATCAAAGCAAGTCTGTATCTGTGTTGAAATGCTGCAGGAGCTTTTCTCTTCACTTACTTTTTAACTAACACTTTTCTTCGTCATTTTTGCTCAGTGTCTTTTAGTGGATGTATGAAATAATTTCTCCCCAGGTTCACATGATTCACAAGCTATAAGTGGCACAACACTTTTGACTTCATTTTCAACACTTCAAAAGCAGCTATGAGCTGAATGGTGTGAGAATGATGTTTTATTTCTCTCTCTTTCTGTCTCATAGGCTGGCATGACACTCACATACGACCCAACCACAGCTGCTATGCAAAATGGGTACGAGACAACAAGAGTCCTAAGAAAGAGCCAGTGTTATCGTAGTATTATTTAAACACTAGTATAGTATTTATTAGTATTTTGAATTCGCTTTTATTTTTATAGTTTCTCTCTTCATTTTCATTTTAGTTCACGTTTTAGTAATTGTTTTGTGCTTTTTGTATTTTTTATTATTAGTATTTGTTATTTCTATTTAACTTTAATGCATTTTATTTCTGGTTTAGTAATTTGAGTACTTCTGCATTTCAAATTATGGCTTACGTTTATTTAGGTTAAAATTTTTTGTTTGATTATTTTAATTCAGCTTTATTTTAATTTTAGTAGTTTAGTTATATTTAAAATGTAGTTTAATTTTAGTAATTGAATTAGTTTTAGTAGTTTTATTTTTCGAACATCCAGACATTAAATTGTATATTTCCAGCTCTTAGAAATTCTTTTTATTTTATTTTATTTTATTTTTCATTTAATTGCCAAGGCAACCTTTCTAAATTTAATTTTAAAAAAATTTAAGTTTAGGTTTTTCTTTTAATTTTTCCAACTCAGGTATTTTTTTTCAGTAAGGGATTTTATTTTTTTATTATTTTTTTTATTATTATTTATTTTTTTCAGTTAGCCATCAAGGTACGAAGTTTCTCAAAGTTAAACATGTTCATTTTATATGAATAATAATATTCATAATATTGCACAGCCTCTCATACACTATTGCTTAAATATGCCGTTTTTATCTTTCTACAGATTCTATCCGACTGCCTACAGTATTACAAACAGAATGATAACACAGACCCCCATGTCTCCATACATCTCACCTATGTCCACATACCAGGTAACATAATGTGTAGTTCAGATCAAACTTTACTGCTTACAGACCGATGGAGGTCTCAGAGATGGATGCATCAGAACTGTCTCAAGGGACGCTGATAATCTGTATTTTATTATTCAGGTACAGAATCCATCCTGGGTCACCCATCAGCCCTACATCATGCAGCATCCGGTGAGTCTCAGCACTGGCCGTCTCTGATTGTCCTGAGCAGTGCTTGTTTGTGTGTGTGGGAGAAATACACTTGAACTGCATCATGACTGCTCATAGACTGAGAGTGTGGGCGACAGGGACAGAGAGTCCAAACAAACATACTAAAGCAGAAACCACAGCAGTTTATAAGTAATCAGAATGAACAAACTTATGCCAAATAATATAGTTATTAAGCTGATAGGTGGGCACAGTATCAAAGAATCTGCAAAGGTTTGCATCCAAACAGAATGAAGAGTCTGAAGTTTCCATTTATTAAGAAATGTTAATTTCTATTTATACACACCAGTATTAATATAATAACTGGCTATACCAATTACTATAATATGAATTGTTTTATTTTATTTATTTTTTATTTTATTGTATTTTATTTATTTTATTTTTATATCTTATATTTTATTTTATTTTGTTTTATCATTTTTATTTTAGTAGTAATATAATAACTGGCTATACTAATAACTATATATTTTTTATGTTATTATTTTATTTATTATTTTATTTTGTTTTATTTATAATATAAAATTTAATTTATTTATGTTATTTGATAAAAAATACCATTTATAATAACAAAACTTTTCGTTTATGTGTCTTTAACTATAGGCTGTCATATGAACAACCAGTTAGAAATTAGACAAAATTAAGTTTCTGTAACCTTAAAAAATGTCATTTGTAACGTAACTGTGAAAGAGTTAGACAATATTTATTATTGTATTTATTCTTATTTTAAGTTTTTGTATTGTTGTCATATGTATTATGTAGTTAACTCAAACTTAATCTACAAAAAAACTATTTTGATACTTGAAATAAAATAAAAATTTGAACTGTAATCAAATAAGATATTAAAAACTCCAGTCTCATTTTTGTTTAGTTTATCTTCAAATACTAAAATAAGTAAAGCTAAGTAAAAACTAAAACAAATAAAGATAAATTGATCAAAACTATATAGACATATTTTTAAAAAACTAATAAAAATGACAGAAATGCACAACAAAATTACTAAAACTTTAACTCAAATTAAAGTGAAATCATAAAATATAAAAATAGAATACAACTCAAAATATTAACAAAAACTATCATAGTATATCAATGATACTAAAATAGCATTGCTACAAAGTACAGACACCTTGATTTTAGTCAGTTATTTCATTCAGTAATTTAATAGTTTGTGAAGCTGCTTTTAGAAGCAACATTGCTTGTAGCAAACAGTTGACACTTTGTCCTTGATACGTGACGTGTGTTTCCTACTTCTGAAGAGCAGCAGTGGCCATCACTGTTGTGCAGGAAACACTGGTGTGAGTGTGTGTTTGCATACGTGCACTAACACTGAAACACACCCAGATGCTGGATTACAGTGTGGCTGAAGTGTGTGTGTGTGTGTGTGTGTGTGTGAGATCAGTGATGGTAATAAGTGAAGCTGCATGAATGACTCTGTCATACAGGGAGAGTCTAAATGAGACTCTGTGTGTTTGTTTTTGTGTGGGTGTGTGTAAGTAATGTGTATATACTGACTGGTGTGAGTCAGTACGTATAGAGCTGAGTGTTGTCGATCATAAATGAGGGAACTGTGGATTTAAAGGCCAGTAATGACGCTGATAGCTCAGAGATTTACAGAGTCTGACTCACAGAATAAGAAACCAGGACTCAGCACGCACATCCCAGAGAGACCTAGGGTGCTCCAATCACCCGAAAGTGTCCTGACAAGTGGGCTACATAAGGAGTTTGTCCTTTAGTTTAATTTATTTATTTATTTTCAGTTAATTGCCACAGCATAATTTTTTTATTTTGTTTACATTTTTACTATATTTTATTATTTCAGTTACTTGCCAAGTCAACATCTAATTTTCAATTTTTTTAATTTTTATTTTAATTTAGGTTTTTCATCTAATATTTAGATTTTATTTACTGCTGATGGAATGAGAGCACGAAACACAATGTGTGCAGATTTGTACTATAGCAGTATATGTTGGTGTGTTCATGTGAATCTCTCTCATCTCTCTCTCTGTAGTTTATGCCAGCGAGTCCAGCTCTCCAGGGGCCCTATATCCCTCCATACACTCACATGCAGACCACCACCGTCTCAGTAGAGGTGGGTTCATGACGAAAAACACTTTCCCAGACACAGATTTAACCTCATCCTGCTCTGAAGAACTTCCTGAATTCACGATCACCATAAATGGAGAAAAGTTGAGGAACAGACTGGGCTTGCAGCTGTGCTGAAATGTTCTCGAGTAAATCGCACAAAACCTGTGAAGAACATGTCCAGGGAACATTCCACAACAAAATCAAACAAAAGAAATAAAATAGAAGATTTTAGAAGAAAATAAAGCCTGTTTTTAGGAACATTGATTTTTTTTTTTTTACACACTCTGAGGTTATTTTCATGACAGTTAAGCATGTTCTTCCTAAATCCTCATAACTGTGATGCATAATAATAATAATAATAATAACAATAACAGTAAATTATTACTATTTAAATTGAACTATTAAAGTATTTATACATGGTAGTATTGTGGGTATTGCCTTTTATTTTGTGCAATAAAACATTTTTTTAAATATCTTAAAATAATGACTAATTTTTCGGCCCAGAATTTTCATTTTGGTGCATCCCTAGTTACATTAGCACTGCAGATCTCTGATTTGATTTGAACTTGCATGATTTGTGCTGGTTGTGTTGGCTTGGTGCATAAATGTGAGAAATTAAACCGCATGTTTTGTTGTAGGAGAACAGTCCACAACCTCAGGTGGAATCGTCCAGTGATCATTCACCTTATACCTATCAGCAGGCCAAGTGATGAAGAGGTACTACAACTCACATCTGTTCATCCACACATATACCACGTTTATTTACAAGCAACCATTTGAACATTAATGAAATCAAATCAATAAGGACTGGGGTTATTATAGTTAACTAAAACTAAAACCATAAAGAAAAAAAAAATTTTTGCAGTTTGAAATAAAATAAACATCAACTAAAATAAAATACATTTCAGCTATTTTTGTTTGTTTTGTTATATTTATTTTAACAAAATAACAACAACAAAATAACAAAAACACAAAACAAAATTACTAAAACTGTAAGTGAAATGAAATTGGAAAATCAAATCTAAATGATTTTTGTTGTTGTTGAGAAATTGAAAATACTTTAAACATTAACAGTAATATTGTGAAATACTAGTACAATTTAGAATAACTTATTTTTGTATTTCTATTTTCATTTTTTAACTTGGTGTACTAAAATAACTATAACTGAAATAAAAATTAATACACACTGTAAATACACAGCAAAATTACTTAAACTTTAACTAAAATTAAAATGAATACAGAAAATACAAAAATGAAAAGTAATTCAAAATATATATAAAAAAAAAATATATATATATATATAATAGAGTCTCAATGATATTGATCAGGACTTAACAATAAACTTGCTGTTCCTCTTATCTTAAATTTTCAGAAATTGTCAGCCATTTAAAAAAAACGAAGTGAAGAAGTTGTCAAACCCGAATCTATTTGGTATGTGTGCAAAGCTCAGGATGTCCTGTTTAAGATGCACCAGGACTGTATGTATATTCTCAAAGAAATCCACCAATCGAATGTCCTTTACAGAAGATCAAAATGACTTTCTGGGATCCAGGAGGATTAAACCTTGTGCCTGATTCTTATGTAAATGTTTAGAGGTCATTCCAAGTGTTGCTGCATTATTGGTTTACATCTTTCTGAAATGATTTGTCTGGCAGCGTAAACAGGTTTCACAGATGCGATATTAGTTTGAGTGCTTCTGTGTCTCCTGCTTTACTGATCCTGATCCGTGTGTCGTGTCGGAATTAAAGGCATAGTTCAACAAAAAAAGACAATTCTGCCATCATTTACTCATTCTAGACTAGTATTATTTTCTCTGGTGATTCATGCTGTTGAGATCCAAAAAGCATCATAAAAGTAGTCAATACAACTTAGTGATGAGAGAGAGTAAATGATGAAAACCCAGAAGAAGAAAAAAACAAATTTTAAAGTTGTAATTTCCATGCCTGGAAATTAATTTTTGATTGTAATGCTCAAATACAGTTATTTTATATCAGTATACTATTATAGTTTTTTTTGTTAATATTTTCAGTTAGATTTTTATATATTTTCTCATTTCATGTTAATTTAAAAGTTTTAGTAATTTTGGTGTGTGTTTTTGTCATTTTTATTAGTTTAAGTATGTCTGTATCATTTTTTTTTTATTTCAAGTTTTAGTTTTAATTATTTTAGTACATCAATTTAAACTAAATGAAATTTAGAAATGTTGCCTTGGAAACTAGCTGAAATAAAATATGTTTTAAGTTTTTAATTTTTTATTTTATTTCAATTAACATTTATTTTGTTTCAAGTAATGACATTTTTTATATACATATATAGTTTTAGTTAACTATAATAACCCTGCTCAGATCTAAAATATGGTGTTTGAGAGAAATTGGTCTTTAGTCAATAGATTATCAAAAGAAAAAAGAAAAATAATGGAAAATATGTTATCCCTCTCTCTCTCTCTCTCTCTCTCTCTCTCTCTCTCTCTCTCTCTCTCTATATATATATATATATATATATATACACTATCTGTCAAATGTTTAGGATCAGTACAATTTGTATTTAATAAAAGATTCTTCTGCTCACAGAGGCTGAATTTACTTGATCAAAAATACAGTAAAAACAGTCAAATAAGAGGTTTTCTATGTGAATATATTGTGAAATGTAATTTATTCCTGTGATCAAAGCTGAATTTTCAGCATCATTACTCCAGTCTTCAGTGTCACATGATCTTCAGAAATCAGTATAATATGCTGCTTTGCTGCAAGAAACATTTCTGATTATTATTAGTGTTCAAAACAGTTGTGCTGCTTCACATTTTTGTGGAAAGCAGGATACATTTTATTTTTCAGGATTCTTTGATGAATAGAAAGCTCAAAAGAACAGCATTTATTTGAAATACAAATCTTTTTTTAACATTATAGAACTGTCACTTTTGATCAATTTAATGCATCCTTGCTTAATGTTCAAATTTGGACATTTGGACTGTTGATTTAAAGTAGGGGTGTCCCCGACTAAGGATTTTCATAGTCGAATCGGAATTTTTGAATCTTGCCGATATTCGACTGATAGTCGAATCATATGTTTTGGGGGCGGGGCAAAATACATTACCAAGAGTCAAGTCAGACATTCGACAATCATACATAACGTAATGTTACCACACAGGGAAAATGTGTAATGGATGCCTCGCAGATACAAACGGGGTAAATAATGTTTTATGTTTTGATTAAAAGCGAAACCCTAAGAATTCACAAATTTTTTTACAATAGTGCTCTCATTATAACGTTATGTATATGACAGTAGTTATTAATGTTCTGCATTTCTGTTTTGAGCTGCGCGCGCTGAAGATGATCAGCAGAATGAAGCAACAGGTTTTTAATCAATGGGATTTAACTCATCATTTATCTCATATAGAATACGCTTCGTTATTTATACAACATAACGTTAATATTACGACTTATAGGCTATCTGCACAAAATGCCCCGAATGCACATGAACGTGTCTGCGCGGCTCTGAATGAACTCCTTTTGTGGACACGTTCTTCACATAACAACGTGCAGAAACACGGCAACTAAACTATAAAAATTCACAGCGTTTTATTATAAGTGTTCTCATTATAATTGTTATGTATATGACAGCCCCAGTCATAGTTATTAATATTCTGCATTGTTGTTTGCAGTGCCGATCCTAGACTTCTGGGGGCACTACGTAAAACTGTGTGAACGAATGAATCAAACGCATTTGTCCATGTTTCACTTAGTCTCGAATCGAACTCGCGGAAAGCGCTTGAGAAACAGTGTCTCTTCCGCGTCTCGGTACGCTTTCAATTGGTTTTTTTAGTCTCGAGCAAGACTGTACGACATTCACATTACATGATTTGACTGATTTTAACGTAGAAAGGGCGACAGCGCACTGCATTAAAAGAAATGATCATTCATGTTTTCATAACCACTGGGCAAATTAAAAACGAAACTAACATTAAATCATCTTTGAGAGCAAGGGGGCCCCCTGGTGTTTCGGGGGCCCTACACAGCTTGTGTATTTTGCGTATAGGGAGGATCGGCTCTGGTTGTTTGTCTTGCTCACGCTGCCCGCTGAAGTACGGTGACTGAGAAGTGCAAAACAAATCACAATTCTGAAAACAAAATAACAAATTACAAACACAAATGCAAGTCTAAAAAACAAAATAACAATTCAGAAAGCACAACAACAATTCAGAAAACATTATAGCAAGTCAGAAAACACAATGACAAATTCGAATACACCCCGTATTTTTTATTCCATAGTAAAGGCAATTCATACAGTACATTTAAACTGAGCTACTTTAATACCATCTCCGAACTTTCTACCACGACTCTGCTGTTCTTCGGCTGGTTCTTCCCTGTATATGTTGATTGACAGATGTCTCGTTCAGTCAGCGGTGAGTAATCCGAAACCAATGGCACTGTCTCAAACTATACCTACCTCTTCCGGTTTGTCTGATTTGTCGTTGTGTTTTCTGACTTGTTAATTTGTTTTCGGATTTGTCGTTGTGTTTTCTGACTTGTTATAATGTTTTCTGAATTGTTGTTGCGTTTGTAATTTGTTATTTTGTTTTCAGAATTGTGATTTGTTTTGCACTTCTCGGCCACCATACTGAAGAGATAATCACAGTAGTACTACAATGAAGTGCTTTACTGCAGCGCAACTCAACCAAATGCATCTTATATGAGATAAATAATATATACACTATATATATAAACCGGCTGAAATGTTTTGAAATCACTTGTACCCTACCTGATCGAAAAAATCTAGTCTTTCACTCTGCCTGTGTCAATTTGAGTCTTGTTAAAGTTTTAAATCGCTGCCGCCGAGATGCTCCACTGTCGGTCACGGATTATGGAAAGTGAAACTTAAATCTATAGGGGTGGTTGGATTTATTCACACACGTTAAAATATTAATTTGAAGCTTCTTTCTTTTCAGATTCTTATTTACAGCATTATTTTAATAAGCTGTATATTAACTTTGGGAGAAAACCGGTAGTTCTATGTGAAATCAGACATTTGAGCACCCCCATATAGCCAAAATGGCATGATCATAACACCCTGCGAATATTCAACTGTGAGATTGGTACTCGAATCAGGCTCCTCCTATCGAAGCATCGAATCTTCGACTATTTGGGGTCACCCCTAATTTAAAGTGTTGCGTTTGTTTCTCTTGCAGTGTTGTCGGGGTTTGAGAGAGAAGGAGACGACTGCTAAATCAATAACAGCTTCCTTTGAAGGACCCGCTCTACCGATGAATCAACATTTTGCACAGGTTCTACGATGAGTTCCTCCGTTTTTATAATAAAACTACTTCAACTATTTTGGTATAAGTTCCATTAGGTGCAAATCAAGGATTCATTTCATCAGAGGATGCTAACAAAGAAAAAACAAAATGGGAAGAAAAAGAAAAGTTTTATTTTACTAAGGAAACGACGCTTATTTTTTACCAAGGATCGTCACATAGATGCAGGAACTTCATCATGCGACTCGACGTGCATGGAGATTCTTCTTATTTTTATGATTTCAGATTTGTTTTCTCTCTTTCTCTCTCTTCTTTTGTACTGAAACAGACGTTCGTTTTTAGAGATTTATCAGCCGGACATCCTGAGAAAGATGCGTTTGTGCTTGCGGTGTGAGTGTCGTTGATGTGTTTTTGTCGTGTGCTTCGTCTTCGGTCTGACCGATCTGTCCATCTTATACGATTTGCCTTAAACTCTTTCCCGTACAGTAGCCGAAGAAAAGACGTCCGGCTGCTGCCTTGTAAATCAGCTGAATAGGGCTTTTTTAGCATCTCGCAAAGGAACATCGCGCTTGGATTTCGGTGTTTTGCTTTTTCCGATCTTTTAGAGTACAAACCGTTTCGAGTGATAACATTGATGGAGTTTTAATAGGATTTAATGTTTTTATAATCAGAGGTGACGATGAGCCTTTGGTTGTTTGAATGTGGTAGAAATTCTGCTGAACGATCACATTTTTGATAACTGCCTTTTCGTTTATAAATCTTGGTGTTGTAGTTTAGCTTTAGATGAGCTCCTGTGGGAGGGGGAGGAGCTTTGTCTTGTATTCTAATGAGGGGGCGGAGGGAGGCGTGGCCTGTCAGATCGACTATAGTTCAGAGTAAAACCTTACTTCACCAAAGACAGTCAGCAAGCGGATAGTGCGGATGTGACGTCATATTCTCTTGAGGCGGGCCACGCTGAGACTTTATAACAGACTAGGTTGCAGTTGTGGAGAATGTGCCTTCTTTGTACATATGCATTCAGCTGTCTTTAGTTGGCGAGGTGCGGACACCGATTTGAAGGACGATTTGGATCCAGCAAGTGCCACAAACTAAACGAAAACATCACTACAGAGCGGAGACAACTGAAACTAAAACAGGGAATGAGGACAGGTTGAAACGACGGCTCCGTTCCAAATCCCTCGTGAGCTGCCTACATAGTTCAGTAATTCTACATGATCCACATGCATCATGCAAATAGATTTCAGTGGAGCTTTCCATTTGAATATTAGCAGTAAAATTACAGTACGAAGCACAGAAAAATATTAGTTGGTTTTCATTAGAATTGAACTATTTTTAGCTGCTTTTCTGTTTTGAATAAATTATCTTTATATCCAACAGTTTTTGGATGTATTTTTTCACCCAAAATGCATCATGAATTTGCCTTCTAAGTGAAGGATATGTGTGATGCTTCCTTAGAATGTGACAAAAGTAGGTATCATACTGCCTAAGTACCGTATTTTGCGGAAAATAAGTCACTATAAGTCACACCGGGTCAAAATTGCATTGTTGAGAGAAAACAAACACAGATAAGTTGCAGTTTTATTATTACATTCAGAAATAATGTAAAATACAGGTGCATTATATAATTGCATTATATAAGTTGTTTTGGTATATATAAGTCACACCGGGGCAAAATTGAGAAAAAAGACTCGGATAAGTTGCAATTTTATTACATTCAGAAAGAATGTAAACTACAGATAAAATTAACATTTACAAACATAAACACTATAAGCATGTGTTTTAGTTCCCCTCGCTGTACAATAAATCTTTTAAATGTAATGTTATTTAGAACAGGAATGAAAATAAAACAAATTATAGCTGCATTCATTATAAACATCAGACATGTAACTCCAACCAACATGTTTGCATGCTTGATGTTAATAATTGCATCATATAAATTGTTTATATATATATATATATATATATATATATGCAACATTTTTCAGGTAATAAAAAAAATTAGATTTTCCAGAAAATACAGTTGGCAGCTCACAAGGTTTTAGGACACAGCCTTTGAAATAATAATCGCATCCATTACAGGAAAATGTTTTTATTCTCTTTTAAACTCACAATATAGTTTATTAAGGCTTTATTCATTAATTTGTCTTCCAAAAGACTGTGTTTTTGACCTGGTGGGTCTTGTTGACCGGTTATCTACCTCAGAGTTTTGTTGTCCTCTGTTTTGATTGGTCGGGCAGCAGGTTCAGCCCGCCCCTCCAGACCAAACGGCCAGCTCTGGAGCTGCCCACTTACACTTGATTTCTTTCAGGTTTTTTTGTTTTGAAATACTTTAATCCTCTTCTTCTTCTTCAAACAGAAAAGTTTTCTTTTATTATTTTTATCGTTATAAGGAAAGTTGTGCATTGAATGTGTCGTTTTAGTGTTGTTTAGCATTCAGATTCATCGTTTCGAAAGCAAAAAAACTGCTGCTTTTCATCACAAGATATTCCAGTAGTCCATAGGAAGTAGAGAAGAAAGTGTGCACGCGAGAGACGGAGCCAATGAGAAACAGCGATGCTGAAAGTTGCGGTTTTCCCGACACATCACTGTTGTATGGAAGCTCGTTTCTGCCACAGAATAAAAATTAAAAAAAGGCAACTGCGACTTTTTTTCTCAAAAACGCAACTTTTGTTCGTCTGAATTCTCAGTTTACATCTTGCAATTCTGTTTTAATTTCCACCACAGAATAAAAAATAAAAAACATTTTATCTCTTTTTACTTTTTTCTTGCAATTTCACATTTATATCTCACAGTTCAGATTTTTTTCTCGGAACCGTGTTTTTGTCTTGCAATTGCAAATTTGTTACATTTCGCAGTTCTGACTTTTTTCTTTGAATTTTGAGTTTTTATCTCACAATTCTGACATTTTTTTCTCATAATTGCAAGTTTAATTCTTGTAATTCTGACTTTTCTGAGTTTACACTTCGCAATTTTGACTATTTTTCTCTGAATTCAGAGTTATCTCTTTTTCCCCACCACAGAATAAAGAATAAATAAGGTTATTGCAACTTTTTATCTCACAATTTTGACTTTTTTTTCTAAGAATTGCAAGTTTATATCTTGCATTAGTTTTTTCCCACAGAATTGTGAATTGTAATTTGTTTCCATCATGGAATAAAAAATTTTTTTTTAAACTTTTTATCTCACAATTCAGAGTTTTCTTCTCAGAATTGCGAGTTTATATTTTGCAAGTTAACATTACATAATTCTGGCTTTTTTTCTCAGAATTGCAAGAAAAAAGTCATGAACTGTGAAATGTAAACTTTGTAAACAAGTTTATAACTTGTAATTGCACGATATAAACTCACAATTTTGAGAAAAAAATATATAAATTTGCCATTGCGAGAAAAAAAGTCTGAATTGTTACATATAAACTCGTAACCGCAAAAAAAAAAAAAAAGTGAGAATTGTGAGAGAAAAATTCACAATTTCCTTTTTGATATTTTTTTATCCCGTGTCAGAAACAAGCTTCCATACTTTTTCTTTCAGACTGAGTCCAGACAGACTTTTAGTGGCGTTATTCACGGTGCTCAGCTCACAGCCGAGTCCATTCTTGATGTGCGTGTGTGCGTGTGTGTGTGTATGTGCGTGCGTGCGTGCGTGCGTGTGTGTTTCTGTGGAGTTCTTGTGTGGCTCATGCTGCTAGTAACATCCGAATCCGAAGTGCCAATCTGTGTCTGGGTCAAAGAGTTGGAAAGACTTGTTGTGCAGAGAGAAATTGCTTATGAATATGGAAAATCATGTACTAGACAGCCATTAAGTTATATGAAAAGTAATAATTTATGAAGAGAGACGTTTTGTACAGACTGTTTGAAAAAATTAAAACAATAAAAAGATTTTGATAGAGATGACTATATGAGAGTTGATTTAGTAATTTCTTTCTCTGTTTTACATGTCACGCACTTGCCAGTGGTATCTTGTACATTCGGTTTATCAGAAACCTTCCTCTGTATTTGTTTCTTTTTATTTTCTGAGTGTTTAAGCCAAAAAAAAGCTGTTTTCTCCCTTTTCCCCTTTGTTTCCAGTAGATTGTTAACTAAGCTTTATTTCTGTTCATTTCTTTGAGAACTTTTGAATAAAAACACACTTTTGTTTTATTCATGTTGTGTCTTCATTCACAGACCAAACGTCTGAGAGCGCTAGTGAAAATGCATCTGCTCCGCATTCCTTTCTACATCGTTTTGCATTAGAAATTATCAAATTAGCATAACTATTTGACTGAAAAAGGAATGCGTCAGTATTTGGTGTGTTTTTTGATTTAATAAAGCAGCACTTGTGTTAAATGAACTAAACCTGATGATCATGTTCTTCAGCGTGATTTAAGATGATCCAAAGAACATCTGACAGTCTGGTTTTCTTACATAAGTGACCTAGAAATGGTGTAGATATTATACAGTTTGTACCGTAAATATTTTTAAGATAAAAAGCCTTTACTGGGCTAGGACTAGCCTCTTGGTACAAAGAGAGAGAGAGAGAGAGAGAAAAAAAAATGAATACTAATAAAAATAATGAGAGAAAAAAAATTATAATAATGTTTTTTTCTCTCTCTCTCTCTCTTTGTACCAAGAGGCTAGTCTTATATTAACCTGCTGTCTTTGATGATTCATTAATTACCACTAGTTTAAGAATACCTGTTGATGTGTGTCCTGTTTTGCTGAAACTACATATTTAAAATCTTGTTTTCCTATTTTATTTCAATAGAAAAATCTATTATATATTTTCAATATATCTCAGTTTAAAAAAATTATTATTTTAATTGATTTTTGTATTTTTTTGTTTGTTTTTCTTACATATTGTTTGCACAGCCATGTAAAAGAAAAAAATCCCAAATGTTGATATCCAAACCTGGAAACATCATGTAGATGAATAAAATATTAAAAAGTCATGGACATTTCTGTAGAGAATATTTTAGTTATTTGTATAGCATCGAATACAATTTATTTGGCTAGATAGATTTATGCACGCTTTCTATGTAAAACCATTTTTTAAAATCCAGCTGGAAAAGTCATGATACTCATTTACAGTAGTTAGTGACCGTCAAATCTGAAATATTTCTTCAATTTAAGTAATAACTTCCATTTAGCATTACATTAAAAAAAAACAAATCTTTGCAAAAATATGTTTTAAACCTATTTTTGAAAATAATAATAATTTTTTTTTAAATGTAATCATATTTTGAATGTGGTCACAGACTTTTTGTACCCCATGTATGTTCATATATCCAGGGTTTGCACAGTCTTGGAAATATCAGAGAAATTCTGAAATGTTGATTTCCACACCTGGAAGCGTCATGGAGATTATGGATATTCCTGTAGTGAATATTTTTCTAGTTATTTATAGCTTGAAATACAATTTATTTGGCTAGATCAAATGTATGCATGCTGTCTATGGACGTTTGCAGACTGTTATAAAAAGAAGAGGGGATGCCACACAGTGGTAAACATGGCCTTGTCCCAACTTTTTTGAGATGTGTTGATGCCATGAAATTTAAAATCAACTTATTTTTCCCTTAAAATGATACATTTTCTCAGTTTAAACATTTGATATGTCATCTATGTTGTATTCTGAATAAAATATTGAAATTTGAAACTTCCACATCATTGCATTCTGTTTTTACTCACAATTTGTACAGTGTCCCAACTTTTTTGGAATCGGGTTTGTAAATAAAATGATAGAAATCATAATTAAATTGCCAGGAAGCATAGCATGTATATTTTTTCCTTTCTGATATACAATATTACGCCACACATGATGAGCAAGAACTGAAGCATGAAAGAACAGATTTAGTGAAAGGATGATTGCATTCAGTCAGAAACGGATTTCTTTGTTCTGGTTTCCTGAGGGTGTTTTTCTCAGCGGTTCATGTTCAGTTCTGAGAACAGAATGAGTTTTTCTCTGAGTTTTCACTTCTCTCTCAGTCTGTAATCAAGTGAGGCTGGGATTTCCACAAGTTTATTCTGTTTCAGTGTTATTAAAAAAATGGCACACTATGAATTCTGCATTTTAGAGCGCAGCAGACGGGTTTCAGAGGTAAAAAGTGCCATTCATTTCTTCCATGCAAAAATACATTTTTGACAATAACACTGTATAAAGCTTTTCTTTGAACGTTATTATATTGAGCTGTAATTATGCTCTATAGAATCAACTGAAGATGATAAAAGAGGTTATTTTGGGGCAATGCAAAATAAATGAATAATGTTATACAACAAGTTAACCCCATTTATTGGAATTTATTGAATACAGATTAATAAAGGTAATCATTTTTGGATGAAGTGTTGAAGCAGTCTGCTGTTTGCTCATCTCGACCAGCAGGTGTCAGTGTTTTAGGATTTGAGATTATGGATGCATTTATATAAAATAGTAAATATATATATAATTATATTTAATAATATTTGTGTCTTGTAGGTTGGATGGAGGAATAGATAGACAGATTAGTTTAGGTTTTGCCAAGAATATTTGATTTCAGTTCAGTTCTTTTACATTGTTACACCTTTAGAGAGTACAATGCACACATGACAAACAAACCATTATCAACTATTATAATGCATTTTAAGTTGGGTTACAATTATTTATGAAAGGATATAATGCATTACAATGCATTTTACATTATAAGTACCTTTATAGTGCATTATACGTGAAGGCGTTAAGTAAAGTGATGCAGGCAGCTGTATGAGTGACAGACAGTCATGCGGGTCTTTCTCAGGAACAGTTGAATTTGTGCAGCATCACATGGTCCACAGACATATCAGATGGTCTCAACTAGGTCCTGGACCTGGAGGGTGTCATGTTTGGGTGTGTGGAGGGTTTCAGGGAT